CTAATGTCTTCTCATTAAATCAGGTTCAGATTTGTTTTCCAAGCTTAGTGAACTACACATATTTTCTAGTCTTTGGAATGTGGATTGTAGGAAAATCTGTGTGTCGGTCTATATGATGCAAATTGATTTTCTTCTTCTGCTCATTCTTGGCCTATTAGAAGTTCCAGGTTATATGTAGTTCACCAAGAAGATAAAGTCTTAGGCTTTTGCTAGGGGAAATAATGGAAGAGGCAGGCTATTTTAGGACCAGCCCTTAGGTCCCCTGATCTCTGATGCTACTCCCTTCAGGGCTCTCCATTTCCTTTGATCAGTGAAATAATTCCACTTTCCTCTTCTCTGGGGAACAAGATATACCTCAAAATCTGAAAACATAGATGAAATATTCATTTTATACGTTGTACTTTAGTGAAAAAAAAAAAAGGTTTTACTTTGAAAAAGCATAACCATGGGAAATTATCCACAAGTGAACATCGACGGAGTCTACAAAATGCTTGTCAGCTGTGGTCAGTGTCAATAAATGTTCCTATGAATTTCTGCTTCAAAAGCTGAGCACTGTGTTAAACTCTTGGCACAAAATTAAGACAAACCTACTCCCTCATCTCATGACGTCTGGGTGCTAGTTGCAGGAGAGAAATAAAAGGTGGGTAAAGAAAGCTTAAACCATTGCAAACATGAAGAAAACGTGAGGCAGTTAGAGTAGTCAGAGAAAGTCCCATGGAAGGTAACAAAAGATTTCACTGATCTTCCCCACCTTTCCCAGAGCTGGGGGGTCCAACCCAGGGCCTCATATGTGCTAGGCAAGCTCCCTATTGCTGCACTACCCCGCAGCCTGGATGTTTAGCTTTAGGATGAGAAGGAGCTACCTGCAGAAAGGCTGCTCTGGAATTGGTGTGTTGACAATAGGCAGAAGAGAGGATTTAAAATTTTAAATTTTTGGATAGGATTTCCCTAAGCTGTTAAATTTTCCAGGCTGGGCTAGAACTTGTGATCCTCTTGTTTTAGCTTCAAGAGTGCTGGGAATTAACTGACCAGGCATTAACTGAGCAGTGTGCTGCTCACCATTTTAATCCTAATAGATGGTCAGGTGGTTGGTTTATCACATCTCATAATCCTCTAGCCCTGGTTATGGAATTGGAGAGCTGATGTTGGAAACAACAGTGTATTTACTGAGGGAAAGGATGCTGGTAAATCTGCTCCTTTACCCCTGTGGTTCTCTGCTCTCTCTTGAACAATTCACCACCAAAATTATTAAAAAGTATTCACATTCTCTGAGTTTACTCGGAATTATTTCTGTTGAATTAGGCAGAAATCCAATCCAAATTAGATAAACAAAATGGCAGGGAAGGGGAATTTAATGGTTCACAGGACTGAAAAATGCAAGGATAGATTAAGAATGGCTGAATTGAAGAACTCAAATAAATTCTCTCTGCTATAGCTTGTTTCTAGAAGTCCCCTGAAAGCCTCATGCAGTCATAGGAGGGGCTTTTTCCAGAGGTGGCTGGATCTAAAGTGTGTGACACTAGGGTTGAGGCATGGTACAATCTAGGATCAAGGGCACTAGGATTATGGGTGTGAGTGCTACTGCCTTAAGTAGCCTTGATAAGATATAAAGTATAGAAACAGCTGTGGACATCTTTCGCTTGCTTTGCTACCTTCTGCCCACCATGAACTGTTTCTCTGCAGTGCTGTCTACCATCCATACTGCCTTGGAGCCAGCTGATTATGGACTGAAACTGCTACAAACTGTAAGATAAATAAACCTTTCCTCCCTTAACTTGTGGAGGCTGTGTATTTTGTCTCAGCAACAAGAAAGTAGCTAATATAGCCCTCCCATCTTTTTTCCCCAACTCTCCTTCTCTTTGATTTTCATTTTTTTGCATCAATTCCACATGCAGGGTATAACTCCCAACATGTTCAGATTTATGTTGTTGTTACTGAGAAAGGGCATAACCGAACTGCCCTGGTCCAGAACTCATAATCCTCTTGTCTCCATTTCCAAGTACTTGGGATTACAGAACTGTACCACAGTACCTGGCTGTGTGTGTGTGTGTGTGTGTGTGTGTGTGTGTGTGTGTGTGTGTCATTAGTAACTCCATCAGGGAAAGAAGGATCCTTTGGACACAGCCCGGGTTGTATACCCATCCCAGGCTCGATCACTGGTCTTTTGGTGGAGGAGAGCTACTGACTGGCACAGCCTTGGAACTCGAGAGCAAAGAGGTAAAGCTAGGGGAAGATGACACCCTTTTCCAGATGAGATTCAAGTTGAATAAGGAGTGGTGGTTCAGAAGGAACGTCAGGCTACCGTTAACAAGAAAAAGTGGAACGGGAGGCTAAGCCATCGAAACACTGCTTCCTTCTTCTGTACACTTTCTACCCGCTATTATCCTGCATCCACACAAAAAAATGCATTCGCTTGCACTCCAAAATCAGAATGCACTTCCCACATCTACTCGGCTAGTGTTTCTTGTTTTTTCTTGTCTCTAGCTCCTTATCCATGACACTGAAGTGATTTTCATTCCCTCTGACAGACAGCCTCTGGATAAACTAGGCATTCGATCAGTCTCCTTCTCATCAGTGTAAAGTAGTGGAGGGGAAAAATAACACGATTTCCTTGGAAGCAAAGGAAGGAATACGTAACCAGCAAGGAGAGTCTCCCATTAGAAGTATTAAGTTCTACTAATTAGAAGTGGCAAGCATCATCTATCTTGAAGGGAACTGAGATTTTGGCCAAGTTACCTTACTCTCATGAAGGACTCTTACTGTTTTCCTCTATGACCACAGCTGTAATGAGAATCAAGGAGAGATCCCCTTCTCGATGGGAGTGGCTGAGTCATAGGCTTGCTATTGTGTTTCAGAAGCATAGCTTTCACCTACCCTCTGGACCCTGGCAGGAGAGGTCTTATTCTTTCTCCTGTCTTGCTTTAGTGGCAGCCATCCTGGCCTCTGCCAGGGGGCGATTTGAAGTAATTAACAGGGGATGAGAGGGACCAATAGATTGGCTTCTTGATGAGAGGCTGGGTCCTAGTGGATAGCTCTTATAATTAGGGTGACCTCAATTAGAGTTGTTATCTAAGTATAATTATCAATAGCACGCCTATTCACACTCCAAATTGTCCCATTTTGAAAGATACATTATATGGTCACCCTACTTAAAATGGGGTTAATTCTTCCCTTCTTTAGACAAGCATGGTACAGTAGAAGGATTTGGATGTAAACCTAGGAGACAGTATTTCCGTGGTCAGTTTTTACCTTTGTATATTTCCTGTCACTGTGCAAAGGGCAGAAAACATCCTGGCATGGATGTTTTGACTTCTTACCATTTGGGTTTGCTGGCTACAGGCGGAAAGGGCACCTTCAAGCCCTACAATGATTTCTTCCTCTCTTCTCCCACATGAGCCAGTTTTACAATGTCATGCCTCCTTCTTTACGTCTTTTTATAAAACCATAAGTAACCTCAAAGCCTCTAAAACGCTGACATTTGTTAATTAAAACCCCACCCCTGAAACGGACCTGTTTCAGTTTCTTGGCTATCCATACCCTACCGTACCACAAGGAACTGCAGTTCCCTAACCTGGCACAGGGAGAGTCGTCCTTTTCTCATCCTCGCCCCACCCAGCCAACTGCTATGCCGCAACAGCCCACATACAGCTACACAGAACCCCTTTCACTTAACTCAAAATAGCGTAAGCTCCAAAAGAAAATGTTTTGAACAATTTTTTAAAATGCACCAGGTGTGATATAGCACACGCCTGTAATCCCAGCACTTGGGAGGCTGAGGCAGGAGCATTTCTGTGAGACTGAGGTCAGGCCAGACTACACAGTGAGTTCAGGGCAAGTCTGAATTACATAGGGAGACTCTGTCTCAAAAAAAAAATGTACCTGTACATGTTTGCAGTTCATGTGTTTGATAATCATCTTAGGGAGAGGTCACACGTACATATTACAGCATGTTTTTCACCCCTTTCCTCTTGCCTACCCCATTTTTCATTCTTTTTGGCGTTATGGCACATCATATTAATTAGGGTCATTAGGTTCCTGCACGTGGTATATCTTTATTTTTCTTATCTGCCCTTCGTCTTCTAACCCTTCGCCCTTGTCCCCTTGGATCTCTCCATCCATCCTTTACCATTCCTTTGTTTATACTTTGCCTCACTCAAATGAGAGACATCATAGGGCATGTTGCTTACTGTTTCTAGGAGGCTAAAATGTCCACGCCGAGCTTTTTGTCATTGTTGCTAATTTTGAGGCCAAGAGTATGCTGGCTGCTGTTTCCTCTCATCCACAATCTAAACTTTTTATTTATTTTTATTTCTTTTTTGTTTGTTTTTATTTTATTTTTTTTCAGGTTTAATTGAGTTTATTGGTACATTTTAGGGATACAGCACAGTTACATTCGTTGTTGGGATCTTGTACCTTTCCACGACAGGTCTTGGTTCTCATTTTTTCCCCTTGTCCCTGACCTCCCTTCACCTCTCCTGCCCTCCCCTTTACAAACACTTTATTTCCATTTCTTCATTTTCTCATATTTTTTCTTTTCCCTTATTACCTTTCCGCTACCCTTCCCACTTTCCCTACACCTTTAGCCCGTTTCTTCCTATTTCACATTGTCCATTACATCATTAGGATCTTATGTACTATTATAGTTTATTCACACCAGAGAAACTATTTGGTATTTACACGTGTGTGTCTTATTTGTTTCACTTAAAGAGTATGGCCTCAATATGCATCCATTTTCCTATGAATGACTCTAGTTTCTCATTCTTTATGGCTGAGTAGTACTCCATTTTATAGAAAAACCACATCTTTATCCAGTCTCCAACTGATGGGCAATTGGGCTCTTTCCAAGTTTTAGTTATTACCAACTGTGCTGCTATAAACATGGGTGTGTATATATCACTGTGGTATGATTCTTTTAATTCTTTTGTAAAGATACCTGGCAGAGGGATGGCTGGGTCAAATGCAACCGCTAATAGTAGTTCTTTGAGGTATCTCCATATTGATTTCCACAGTGGAGGGAGTTATTTTTCAAAGGCGCTGTTATAAAAAAAAAAGTTGTTGTATGCTTACAGGGTTAAGAAAAATAATGTGTCTCCTTTATACTTTAAAGATTAAACAAAGGGCTGGAGGCTTAGCTCAGTGGCATCAGTGCCTGCCCGTCAAGCACAAGAGCCTGAGTTCAATTTCTGGTTCCACACACACACACACACACACACACACAATAAATAAAGTGCCAGTAACTGGGTTCCTTTCCTTATGGGTACCCAGTATGCACTGGCTGTGAACAGCAGGTTTTTCAGTGATGTACACAGATGGTTGCTGGTATGGGCTACCATAAGGTCCTAAGAACCTTTGAGACAGCCCTTTAAAATAGATGACAGGTTGGTGGGGGCTCTTCGGACAGCCCCTGGCCACGGTGTCCAGGGTCATCCTGTCCATTCACACCAAGATGCAGAAAAGGAGCAAGTGATTGAGGTCCTCAGCAGGGACAAGTTCAGGTTCTCTGGCCTCCAAAGGATCCACATCTGAAAGAGGTGGGGATTTACCAAATTTAACGTGGATGAATTTGAAGACAAGTGGTTTATCCCTGATAGTTACTGGGTCAAATACATCCCAAATTGTGGTCCCCTAGATGGGAGCAGGCCCTGTAATTGTGAGGGTTTCCACCATGCTACTCCCCGCTTCTAACGCCCATCAATAAATTTTACTTCCTGTCCACCTACAAGATTAATAATACTGGTCCAAAGTAAACCCAGAAGTACTTTACTTAAAAAAAAAAAATAGTATATCTGTCCTGGCTCAGCCCCACTTTTGAAAGATGAGAATAGTTATCTCTTCTACCTCTGAAAGGCAAAGAAAAAAAGATGTAGAAAAGTGGCAAGGGTAAAATGATTGCTTAATTTAAAAATAAAATCAAAGTCTGCAGGCTTAAAAGTGTATAGACTTCTCCGAAGTTGAACCTACTGTTAAGTTGGAAAAGGCTTTTTTTCTCTACCACCAGGGAGGCCTGACTCTGTCCTTTCACTCATTTGTAAATTAGCTTCCCCTGAGGACCCGAAGGGCAGGGAAGGGCCCTGACAAGGGAGAAAGGAATGCCCTTTTTATTGGGTCTCAGGCTCCACATATCTTAGCTGGGAATGTACAGTTTACTCTTTTCAATCTCAGCAGCGCCAGCAACTCTAGGTTGCAGGAATTTGTTAATTCAACAAATATTTGTTGAGTGCTAATTCTTTTTCTCTCTTCTGTCTTTACTGCCTGCCTATTGCCCAGAACTTTTCCTTCAGTGTTCAAACATCCCCAAGGACCTCTCATTTTAAAAATCAAATAAAATCTCTCCAAACAGAAAACGTTTTTGTGATCACACCTCCCTCCCAGCTAGCATCCCGCAAACCCAAATTTCACACATTGAGTGTGCTTCCTTCTTTCCTTCCTCCTTGCTCCCGTTCCTACCACTTGGGACCCTTTCCTGCCCCTCAGGGAACAAGGCTTATGAAGCTGTGTGTAAGCCTGTGTTAGAGCATTTGGCTGTGTAGTGACTGCTACCTTTTTAACTGGCTGTGAGCTATGTGAGCTACAGCTTGCAGTCACTCAGTGACTACTGCTGAATTTTATGTCTACATAGGCATGGTGCCTGGATGACTGACTGGGTTACAAATATCTTGGGTGAAATAATGAATGAATAATGTCAACTTAGAAGGGCTGGGGATTTAGTTCAGTGGTGCCACTGTCTGCCTCACAAGCGCAAGGACCAGAGTTCAATCCAAAGTACAGGAAAAAACAAACAAACAAACAAAAACTTAGAATAGAAACAAAAGAGAAGGGACAGGTTTGGCACAGGGTGGGGACGATGAATGGAAAATTTAAAAGTATCTTGAACAGAAGATAGAAATGTAGGAGGGAAGAAGGAGGGTGTTCGTAGGAGAAGCGAGTCTGAAATAGCTTCAAGACAGCAGGTGGGGCACAGTAGACAATGTTAAATGCTGCAGGCAAGGCTATCCATCCTCTGAACACTAAGAGGCTGCTTAATGGGACAAATGATTACGATCACTTTCTTGGGAAACTGGAGGAGCGTCACTGGAAGGTTAGCAGGCAGGTTCCGGACAACACAGGTGTCAGCATAACTGATTTAGATGGACAGCAGGGCTAGGGACTGCTGCGAGGCACACAGTCTTACCTGCATACCTCTCACCTTTCCTACACCTTAAGATGAACCAGTTAGTCCATCTTACCCTGTGGTTGAGAATCACTAGAGAAAGAGCTACTTTCTCCACGCGGGCTGTATCGTTGAAGCTCTAGAAGGTTCGCCATCGCTGTACTACACCCTTCTTCAAGGTCTCACTTTATGGTCCAGGTTGGCCTTGAACTCACCATGTAGCCCAGGCTGAACCCTTGATTCTCCGGCCTCAGTGTCCCGAGTGCTGGGATTACAGGTGAGTGCCAACATGTCTGGTGCATCACCTTTCCTTAAACGTAAGCTAAACCCCTCCCTCAAATGGCCTCACTCAGGAAGATTCAAAATGTGAGAAGTCAAACAGAAACGACAGTCAGCTGTGGGCTTCTCGTTGATTATTTTTCAAACCCCTTCAGGGGCAGCCTAGAATCGTTTCTTAGTTGGCTGCGCTACGTGAGACATTTCGGCAGCTTTTAGTCATTTAGTGTCTCGGTGGCCCTTCCTTGGTTTTCCCACAAGGGTCCCAGAGAGGGACAAGAACTCGGAGAGCCTGTCCCAGAGCCCTGCGGTAGCCAGGGTCCTCCTCCCTCACTCCTCCACCCCAACACCCTCCCTACATAGACGGTGGCCGTGGGAACGAGGAAGCTGCATCCTGAAGGTGAACGAGGGTAGAATGAGCAGTAGGTCGTTCTGGACAGACGCGGGTTTTTACGCATCTGATGTTTAATTTATTTTCTCTCAACTGCTCTTTTTCTTTTTCTTTTGCCTCTGGCAAGGGCAACATCGAAGGAGGAATGTCACTAGGTCAGGATCTAGAAACAATCAGCGTTGTTTCAAGGACGAAAGCGCCAAGATTAACTCCCGAGGAGCAGTCCAGACGGTGTGGGGAAAAAAAAATCGCTTAAAAAAAAAAAAAAAAAAACA